TCTATGATTCTATTCTATGATTCTAAGGATGTGGAAAAATTGGAAAGAGTCCAGCGGAGGGCAACAAAAATGATTAGGGGTCTGGAGCACATGACTTATGAGGAGAGGCTGAGGGGACTGGGATTGTTTAGTCTCCAGAAGAGAAGAATGAGGGGGGATTTGATAGCAGCCTTCAACTACCTGAAGGGGGGTTCCAAAGAGGATGGAGCTCGGCTGTTCTCAGTGGTGGCAGACGACAGAACAAGGAGCAATGGTCTCAAGTTGCAGTGGGGGAGGTCCAGGTTGGATATCAGGAAAAACTATTTCACTAGGAGGGTGGTGAAACACTGGAATGCGTTACCTAGGGAGGTGGTGGAGTCTCCTTCTTTGGAGGTTTTTAAGGCCCGGCTTGACAAAGCCCTGGCTGGGATGATTTAGCTGGGAATTGGTCCTGCTTTCAGCAGGGGGTTGGACTAGATGACCTCTTGAGGTCCCTTCCAACTCTGATATTCTAAGTGTTTAGTTAGATAGTGTCCCAGCAGGGACTTTGCCCCAGGAGGGGCATGCCCTGGTCTCCGGGTTTCAAGCCCTACTCTTCATGCCTTGTAGTGACTCACAAAAGGGCTCACCCCTGGGGAGTTCCTCCCCCCGAAAGGACCCGCCACTGACTCCGGGGAGTGGTAAAGGACCCAAGCGGACAATGCAGTCAACGCACTCTGAGCCCCCGGCACCTAGAGAGCTAGGAGTGCCTCTGTCCCAGCCGGCACCGCGTGTGGCAATGGAACCGGCTAAGGCACCCCATGAGGGCAAGCCCGCTGGCAAGGCCTCGCACAAAACAAGCGAGCGCCACCAGTCCCCAGAGCCAAGACAGAGCCCTAAGTCGCCACGTTCTTGATCTTCGCATCCGCCCAGGTCTTTGGTTCACCGCTACGAATCATCGGCTCTGTGCTCCCGATCCCTGTCTTCATGCCGGAGCTTGCCCAGGCATCGATCTCCCCAGAACTGGTCTTTGTCACATCGTTGGTTGCCGTTGCTGAGACCTCGAGGTTGCTCCCTGGCACGGCACCGCTCGCCCTACTCCTGGCACCAGTCGGACCGTTACCAGCACCGGTCACTGGCAGCGACAGTGAGCCACCAGACCCAAGCTTCCACAGCCCCGCCTTGTTCACTGATCTGGCAGCAGGACCAATGGCTGACCCAATGGCCTTATTGGAATGTCTGGGGCATTCCCATCATGCCATTGCCCCACTCCCGCCAGCCCTCAGTCACCACATCAGACAGGCCAAAGTTGGCACCACGGCAACGATGGCACTGGGTTTGGTGCAGGACACTCTGGCAGCCGCCGTGGGTGAGGAGCCGTCACCCTCCCCGCAGGTCGCCCTCTCTGACAGGTGAGGACACTGCAAGACCACCCCCGGTCGTCCAATCAACCTCCTCCTCTCCAGACGAGGCGGTGACGGTCCCCTCCAGAGCTAGCCCGTCGGACGATTTTAGGGAGCATCAGGCGCTGCTCCGCAGGGTGGCTTCCAACTTCAGCCTCAAGGCGGAGGAGATGCAGGAGCAGACAGACGCATTGTGTAATGTGCTCTCAGTGTCTGCCCTGGCTTGCGTTGCACTCCCAATACATGAGGGGGTCCTGAACATTTCCAAAACGATCTGACAAACCCTGTCCTCCATCCTGCCCACCTCTAAGAGGGTGGAAAAGAAGTACTTGTACACCCACCTGTCACCAGGATTGTTGGTTGTGTTGGGGCCAACGAGAGGGACAAACAGGGGCCCACCAGTTCCACCCCTAAAACTAAGAAGGCCAAAAGGCTGGATTTGTTTGGTCGCAAAATTTATTCTATGGCCAGCCTTCAGTTTCAGGTGGTGAACCACCAGGCCCTTTTGGGTTGCTACAACTTTAACTTTTGGAACGCTCTCCTCAAGTTCAAGGACTCCATGTCCCAGGAGACGGCCTAGGAATTCACAACCCTTGCGGAGGAGGGGACTGCGGTGGCTCGGTGCTCCCTCCAAATGGCCTGGGATGCGGCCAATTCACCTGCCCGTATGGTCACTTCAGCGATGGTCATGCGATGCAGTCCTTGGCTCCAGACGGCTGGCCTGTCCCAGGAGATGCAGGCTTCTATTCAGGACCTCCTGTTTGACGGTGTTGGCCTGTTCTCTGACCAAATGGATGCGTGTCTGCACGGCCTGGAAGACACGCGGACGACCCTCCGCTCTCTGGGATGCACACTCCTCAGGCATCGCGACAGCCGTTCCGGTCTCCTCCGCCACCTCGACTGTGGCAGCCTCAACAAGGGTCTGCAAGGAAACAAGATGTTGGGTTTAGCCACCGCCGCCCTTCGGCGTCCTGGTCTCCTGCACAGCCTGGCCCAGTGAAGCACCAAGGGGGCCAGAAGCGATCATTTTGAGGGTGCGCTCAGGAACGACACACCAAGTCAACTGTCCGGATCCTTCCCTTCTTTTTCTCAACCGCCTTTTCCCCTACCACTCAACCTGGTTGCAGGTTATGTCAGACTGCTGAGTCCTGGACATAGTGGCTCGGGGCTACACCCTGCAGTTTCTGGCTGCCCCTACCTCCCACCCCCCACATCCCCATCCCTCTCCAGGGACCCTTCTCATGAGCAACTCCTTGTTCAGGAGCTCAAGAAGCTCCCAAGCTTAGGATCTGTGGAGGAGGTTCCTCGGGACATGGAAGGAAGAGGATTCTACTCCCGCTACTTCCTAATCCCGAAGGCAAAAGGGGGCCTTAGACCCATTCTGGACCTGCAGGGCCTCAACAAGTCTCTCAAGAAGTTGAAGTTCCACATGGTCTCCCTGGCCTTCATCATCCCTTCCCTGGATCTGGGGGGCTGGTACGCCGCTCTTGACTTCAAGGATGTTTACTTTCATGTCTATGTATTCCTGGGACACAGGCGTTTCCTGCGTTTCATAGTGGCTGGGTGCCACTTCAGTTCACGGCGCTACCCTTCGGCCTGTTCTCGGCCCCCAGGGTGTTTACGGAATGCCTGGCACTGGTGGCGGCTTATCTGAGACGTCGAGGGGTCCAGATCTTACCATATGTCGACGACTGGCTCATTGAGGGCAGGTCTCCGGAGCAGGTGCAAAGAAGCCTCAATTTGGTGTGCTCTACCTGCAGCGACCTGGGCCTCTTAATAAATACAGAAAAATCCACATTAATGCCGGTCCAACACATAGAGTTCATCAGAGCAGTTCTCGACTCTACGCAGGCCAGGGCCTTCCTTCTGGAAGCATGTTTTCAGACCATGACGGACTTGATTTCCCTCATAAAGAGCCAGCCACTCACCACAGCCCCCATGTGCGCATACGTGGTCAACCATGCCCAGCTTCATCTGAGGCCTCTGCAAGCATGGCTGGTCTCGGTCTACATTCCCAACAGGCACCCCCTGGACCGAGTGGTCACGGGGCCGAGCCACACTCTCTCATCTCTGGACTGGTGGCGGGATCCTAAGTCAGTGCTGCAAGGAGTCCCCTTCATGACCCCGCCTCCGTCGCTCAACCTAGTCTCGGATATGGGCTGGGGAGCCCATCTGGGTGAGCTCAACACCCAGGGTCGCTGGCAACAACACAACCTATGACCCACGACCTTCACATCAATCTCAGGGAGCTCAGAGTGGTTCGCCTGGCCTGCCAGCCTTTCTTGCCCCACCTGGAAGGCAAAGTGGTGCAGATCCTGATGGACAATAGTGCCACAATGTATTACATCACCAGGCAGGGTGGCGCCAGGTCTTGGACCTTTGTCAGGAAGCGCTCAGCCCCCGAGACTTTTGTGTGCAACACGCCATTTATTTGGTGGCTGCCCACCTGCCCGGAGCCAAGAACGTCCTGGCAGATCGCCTTAGCAGGGCCTTCTCATCTCGCCACAAATGGTCACTCCATTCGGAGGTGGTCAGCCTAATCTTCTGCAAGTGGGGGACTCCCCTGGTGGACCTGTTCGCATACTAGCAGAACAGGAAGTGCCACATGTTCTGTTCTCTGCAGAGCAGGGGGGAGTGATAGCTCAGTTGTTTGAGCATTGGCCTCCTAAACCCAGAGTTGTGAGTTCAATCCTTAAGGGCGCCATTTAGGGAACCGGGGTAAAAATCTGTCTGGGGTTTGGTCCTGCTTTGAGCAGGGGATTGGACTATATGACCTCCTGAGGTCTCTTCCAACCCTGATACTCTATGATTCTGTGAAGGGCTCCCTGTCGAATGCCTTCCTGATCCCGTGGTCGGGAACGCTGATGTACGCCTTCCTGCCGATACCATTAATCCCCAAAGTCCTGCTAAAGGTGAAGCAAGACAAAGCAACAGTCATCCCCATAGTCCTAGTTTGGCCTCGTCAACACTGGTTCGACATGTTGCTGAGTCTTTCGGCAGCCACCCCACTGCAGCTGCGTCTTTGGCCAGATCTGTTGTCCCAGAACCACAGCAATCTACTGCATCCAAATCTGGTGGCGCTGCACTTGATGGCCTGCGTGGCTAAGTGGGAAAGAATGGCGGTGTTCTCTGCAGAGCAGGGGGGAGTGATAGCTCAGTTGTTTGAGCATTGGCCTCCTAAACCCAGATCCTGCTGGGCAGCAGGAAACCCTCCACCAGGGCTACCTACGGTTCTCGTGGTGGGCCTCAGGTCGCCACATTCGTGCAGAAGAGGCCCCGCTGCAGGACATCCTGGACTATTTGCTGCACCTTAAGCTCCAGGATCTGTTGCTGTCTTTGGTCTAGGTACACATGGTACACTTGGTTCACCTAGTGGCCATTTCAAGGCAGGTTGGTCTTCGCCCATCCTATGATGGCACGGTCATCCTGCTCCCTCCTGTTTCTCTCCTGGAGGGTCTCCATTCCATTACCCGCCCTCCTGCCCCTCTGTTGGCAAGAAGGAACTGAGGGCTGGCAGTCCCTAATATACAATGCCATGAGTGCGGCATTCCAGAGGGTGCCACAGCTGCCCTACAGGTACTGCTAAGGCAAAAGCCTCCAACGAATGCACATGTGGGCGTGCGCACACCTACAATGGAATGGACATGAGCAACACATCTCAAAGAACAACAGTTACGAAAGGTAGGTAACAGTTTTTTCTTTAATACCTGTGGAAAATCTTCTGAATGATGAAGCAATTTTGTGAAAGCCAGTGCCTAATTAATGCTGTAATTTGTTTATTCACTTTTGTTATGACAATCAGGCATCATATTATATGTTTTATTCTGTGTTAGGTGCAAATGTCAATTGTCAAGCCAATGACAAAGCCACTCCATTATTCATTGCTGCACAGGAAGGCCATACCGAGAGTGTGGACCTATTGTTATCAAAAGGGGCCAATCCAAATCTCTACTGTAATGAGGAGGAATGGCAGTTGCCTATTCATGCAGCAGCCCAAATGGGCCATAGCAAGTAGGTGATATAAAAATCTAATAAACGATTCTGCTCACTAACTGGTAATCAAGAATGAGAATTTTCAGCTATAAATGGAAGGGAAATAATGAGTTATGGACTCTGTTTTTTAGTTTAGAATTTCTTATTCTCTTCACATTACAGTTTCAAAGCCTGACTCTGCAGCTCTTGTCCATGTGGAACTCTCATTGAAATAAGTAGACATTTTGCATCGGAGTCTGATCCAACTCCCATTGAAGTCAGTGGATGTCCCACAGAGATTGGGGCTGCAGGATCAGACATCTGCTCACCTGATAAGCATATTACTATTTTGTTTATTTTATGTTTTAGGTGTAAATAATGATAAAGTATTCTTGTCCAAAACTCTTTAGGAGCCCTTAATTAGAAATACAGTTTTAAATGATAACCATACAGCAGCAAAAATAATCATATACAAATAATGAATAACTAAATGAGCCAGTAAATCAAAACAGCAGAACAGTCCCTTTAATCCATCCAAGAACATAGCTCCACCCCCTCACCCCCAAAAGCAAACAAACAAACAAAATTTGGCTTTTGCAGTAGAGTAGGTAATGAAATTTGAGGTATTTCACAGCAAGGAGGGGCAAGCAAGTTTCAGATCCCCAGGTTCTCACAGAGATCCCTCTGCCATCTCTTTTATAAATGGGGGATCCAACTAGAGTGGCTCCACTGAGCACAGTTTTGGCTGTATATCACAGGGAAAGAGGTACATTCTCACATTCCAGACCATTTAAGGCTCTATAGCTCATGATCAACACCTTAAACTCCACCTGAAGAGCCAGCACAGTTCCCGGAGCACCGGTGCCACATGTTTCCACAGAGATGCCCCACTCACTAAATGAGCTGCTGCACTCTGCACCAGCATCAGTCTGTGAATGATTTTAAGGTGTAGACCCATGTAGAGTGCATCTTGGGGGTGTGGAGGAAGCATGGAAAACAGTGACAAGGTCCATTTGTGAAATAAAGGATGCAACTTCCTAGCCAGCCTGGTTATAGCTGTCTAACAGTCTCTGTGGGGGGGTCTTAACATTTTCAAGTGTCATGCTCTGGTGACCAGTGGCAGAAACTCCCAGTCAAAAGGGCTAATATTGCCTCTGCCATGTCCTCCAGCTACTTCACCCAAGCCACCATCACCTGAGCCTTGTTTGGACTGAGCTTCAGCCAGCTCACTCTCATCCATTCTCCAACCTCAAGAAAGCATTGGCTGAGGAAACCTTATTGTCTGGGGTGTTATAGATGAGGGGTTCTCAAATGGGGTCATGACCCCTCAGGGTGGTTACATGGCGGTCATGAGCTATCAGCTTCATGGGGCTGACAGTTCCCAGCCCCCATTAAATTAAATTAACCTCCAGTTTTTAAAGTAAAGGGGGGAGGTCACACTTAGAGGCTTGCTGTGTGAAAGGGGTCACCAATACAAAAAGTTTGAAAACCACTGAGATAGACACATACATTTGGTTGTCATCAGTATACTGAAAACACTGCACGCCCATATACGTCTGGTTTGGGTGGAGAGGAGAGATGTCAGCATGACATCCTGCAGTAACCCGCACTTGAGAGCCCTTTGGGAAGAGGAGCAAGTGCCCATAATTATGTGGTGCAACCTAGGCAAGAGAAAACAAAGCTACAGAAGAGCAGAACTCTCCTCTCCCACCAATGTTTGCAGGTGAGTCAACAGCATTTCACAATCAGTGGAATATAATAATACCTGTATGGGGGCTTGATCTTCATCCATTGCCAGGAGGAGGTCATTGACCAACATGACCAGTGAAGTTTCTGTGTTCAAACTGATAAGGGAAAAGATGTTTCAGAGGAATCTAGATAGTGTGATAGATGTCTTGCCACAACTGCTATCTTACTCAAAAATGGAAAGTGAATTGGCAAGATTGTCAAGGCATGGTTTCTTGAGCAAAGGCTGTGTTAATATTTCCTTCAAAGCAACAGGCAGGCTGCTTTCTCTAAGAGAAGCTTTGACAATTTCCATCTTCAAAGGACCCAGTACTTCCTTACTGATCTTCATTAATCAGGAAGGATATGGGTCCAAAGTACAGGGTGTGATGCCAAATTCTCCCACCACTCCCAACACTGAGGCTGAATTCTAACAGAGAAGACATCCCCTTTGTCTACAGTTTGTTAAACCAAACCCCCAGATCTGAACACCCATTCCTACTACTTTGTAAAAGTCTAGATCCAAACTTTGCAGAACAGGCATATCTCTGTCAGTGTAAATCAATCCCTGACTAAAACTAATTAGAATCTGAGATGATATTGCAAATACATCAATTCCAACTAATTTTGAATAAGAAATCATAAAAGATGTTTAGAAGATTATTTCAGTTTATATTTGCAGGCAGTTTTACACTGATGATATTAACAGTTCCATATGCTTAAGCACATTAGAAGTTTTTTATGTCAAAATGTCTGATATTATGAATGTTCTTTTTTTACATATTTATTTAATTAAAAGGATGTGATTACGTGTCATGTGTGATTTTGTTTTAAACAATAATGTCCATGGGAAAAATAGCCAGGAAAAATAATATCTAATTTTTCCATATATGTGAAAAGATTCCACAATAAACATAGTTTTAAATGTTACAGCATATTGGGATTGCTAATACCAGTTACTGATCGGACCTGTGACACAGGAAAAGACAAAGTGAGCCCTGTCTATTCAGCAGTTTATGGTGGTAATGAAGAGTGCTTGGAAATGTTACTTAAAGAAGGCTATAGCCCAGATGCTCAGAAGTGCCTAATCTTTGGCTGCATATCACCTATGTGCATGGTTTTCCAAAAGAAGTATGTATATCTCTAGTGTTTTTTCATTTGTCATAGGTTAACTATACTGCTGTTTATCTCAGGCTTACTTTTTAAAATATATACATTTTTTTTCCTTCTCAAGTCTTGAGACTACAGAGTAAACCTTAAGTACCTCTATAGTGCACTAATTCTGGGTCACATACATGAGATAAAGAACCTTGCTAAAATCTCCTTTGGGAAGCTCTGTTCTTTGAAAAGGAGTCTTGTAGAACATAATTGCAGTCTAGTTTCCTGGCTTTCAAAAGGCCTTATCAACCATCTCTGTCTTCTGGGAACTTGACATGATGCTGTAATTGAATCAAACATATTCTTAATTAGCTAGATTCTTTTCAATAAGATTGAGTTCTTGGAAAATACTATTTTACTTTCTCTGTATGCCAGTCTTTTGTGTAAAAACAAAGCAACATAAAATTGTTTTAGACAAGTGCCCCCTCCTCCTCCAAATCTCAGTGTTCTGGGGACAAGACTGTCCCATACCCTGAAAGCAGAGCTTTCAGTATGTTACAGGTGTTGTGAATTACCAAAGAGTTTATACTTACCGTAGATTATAAATCCCTTGAGATCATGATCACTGTGTCCCATTTGTTCTGTACAGTGTGTATGACATGCTGTTGGTGCTCAACAAATAGTTATTTGATACAACAGGAGGAAAAATTGTAAAATGTAACTACCGTTAATTCACATTTTAACTTCATTTACTTGATATTGAAAGTATATTCATGAGGCAGGACGTCCTTCCTTCTGCCCTTCAGTTCACTATTTTGTAGTTATTAATTTTATTAATAAAATTGGTAAATCTCTTCTTCCACCTAATTCTGTATATAGTTGGGTTTGTGGGACCTTTGAACAATAAAACCAACATGATAATTATCTCATTATTCTGTGTCTATTATTCCCTCCTCCCAAAACTTGTCCTTAGAGAGAATGCATTACACATGGAACCAAATCTAGATACCAGTGAAAATAATGGTGCAGGATTAGCCCCCAAGACACTTATTGAGAACTCTGAGCTTCACATGTGATATCTTAATGGATCTGATATTGGACTAGGCATTAGAATGATAGAGATATTCAGTACTTGCACATATTGGAGAATAATATTTGATAAACATGTACAAATTATTTTTGCAATAACTACATTTATTATTAATTTAATACTTTGACAGAATGCAATTTTAACTTGTTTTTTATGTACCATAGATCACAGTAATGTTATGCATAGTAATGTTGTGTGGCTAATGTGCTTTTTTTAAAGGAAAATTGTTTAGGCTATTAAATTAGATCTACTTAAAAATCACATTCTAACAGAAGAATGACTCTCGAACACAGGGTTAAATTATTTCCTGGCACAGTGCCACTGAAGTCAAGGAAGTAATGGGAGCAGAGAATTTGGCTTGTCTCTAATTTTAAAAAATGCATCACTTAGTTGATCCAAATAGCACCACTTTTTGGTGCTGTCTTCATTTTGTGCATTCAGTGCTTTCATCTCCTCATTCTGATTTCTTGCCCTGTCCTGATAGGGCAAAAGGCGTAACTGCAGCAAATTTCTGGCAGAAATTTTTTCAGCGGAAAAAAAAATTATGTGCAGCACATGAATTATACGCGTGCACGCAGTGTCGCACAATTTCCCCAGGAGTGAATATTGGTGGAGGAGCCTTATTTTTAGGCTCCTACATTTGAAAATATTAAACTGTGTATAAAAATAATTCATAAAAACTTTATTAATGTATTGCAAGTTTAAATAACTTCATTTTTTTCTGATGCAATGTTAGCTTCTGGTGCTGCAGACACTTACGCACATGCATAACTAGAAGCAGATGAGTAGTCCCATATAAGTCAGTGGAACTGTTCATGTGAGTAAAGTTATGTGCCTGTTGAACTATTTGCAGGATCAGGACCTGAAGTAAATTTTTTTTCATCTGTGGCAGTTTTGTAAAATTCAAATAAGATACCATACCAGTATTGACATGTTTCGGGGGTTGGGAATACAGGAATTTTGTTCCTTATAAATTTTAATCTAAAGTTGCAATAGCATAGATTTTCAAAGTAGTTTTACAAAGCCTCAACCTAGTTTAAATTATGATTTAGATTACTTAATTAAAAAAACCCATGGATTTAAATTGGCTTGATTTAAATCACTCCACCCTGACTTGATCACATTAATTACTTGGAATTTTCTGAGCACATAGAGACTCTTCTAAGGGTCCATGTCTGAATTTTAAAAACCCTTCTAATTCCATATAGCAAATTTGAAGACTGTCTCCTGTGAAACCATCTTGTCTGATTAGCAGTTGGGGAAAATTAAAACCTGTTCAGTATAATTGGTGTTCTGTGAAGAAAATGTGTTTTATGTGCCAGAACCTCTTTCCTTCCTTGCCTCAGCTTTCCCCTAAGGTTGTTTTGTTTATTTGTCTATTTTATTTAATTTTTTTGCCATCCCTTTCAGTTTGTATTGCCTTTGTTTTATTTTTCAGTTAGGGTTGTATTGTGGCTTTGCCACAAATCCCGGGTAAGGGGCAGCACATAGTTGTGCTGCTCCAGGAATAAACCAGGAACCAAATTGTGACTCTGAGTCACAATCTGATCTCCCATTCCCCGCTTGATCTGAGTGGGAAGTAATTTATGCCAACCCTATAAATGACACAGATTACCGGTACTTCCCCTTCTATGTTGGTTCAGCTGGGCTGGCTAGAGCATTGAGCAGATGAAGTCCAAAGTTCTGCCCACTCTTGCTGCTATGGCAATACAGATAGATGATGCAGGAGATAAAATGGACACTTTACACCTCCTTGTTCCTCTGCATGGACATGTTACTAGGGTCATGATTGTGCCCCTTGAGATTTTTGTTCTTGTCTACCTTTCCTTTCTTCATTCTTTGTCTCTTACTTTGCTTCCTTCTTTCCTCTGTTTTTCTCTTATTACTTTTTTCCAACCAGTCCTCTTTTCCCCTTTCACTTTCCCCTTATTTTAAATGTTAGTTTTTCACAATCTGCTGTATATATTATATGTTGTAAGGTCCCTTTATAATATGACATTACAACTCCTTTTTTTTCCACATAAAGCAGCATGAACAAAATGTAGCATTCTACCCAAATCAAATGCAAATACAGACCCTTAAGGAAAAGTCCCCTCTGTTTTTTAAGCAGCTTCTAAACGTTTCTTTTTAATTTACTGCTGTTGTCATTTGCTAAGGGAAGGTGTTGCTTCCTTGAGTGCTGATTCCAAAGTTACCATGGAGCTATTTCGCCTTTGGTTATTTTTTTAAGGCAAAGATAATGATGAAGACTGAATGTGATTTTGATCATTCATGAAGTACCATGTACAAGATGTTTAAAGCAAGACAAAATCAAATTAATCAAATTATTTGTACAGTGTTTTAATTATAGGAGTTTATTCAATTGCTAAATTACTAGGGTATAAAGTACATGGCTATCTATGATTATTTCCTGATTCCTAGTATCAGATGAGCTGTATCCACACTACAGAAGACACATTTGTTGTTTCATATTATGAAAGAGGTAATTTTGTGATTACCTGGGAAGTTCTCTTATTGTATAGGATGTTGGTCCTAGAGTGGTTGTAACCTTTGATAGGTAGGGAACTGGCAAAAGTGTTCTATGCTGAAGCTTTCAGTAATGTCAGAATTTGTTATCCCTGAGAGTTTGATAGTGGTATTGGAGTATGCATCCTGTACAGATTGATGTTTAGCTAAATTATGCTCAAATATTAAAATTTTCATGACGTTAAGCATATAGTGTGTGTATAATATATGTGAAAGTTATAATGTGCATGCATTTCTCTCCTCATCAATATTCTTGAGTGTCGCATACGTTCTTCAACAGGATAGTAAACTCTTAAAAAAAATCTCTCTAAACATATTGTAAAATTGCTTCACAAGAATCTCTCAATATGTGCCATGTATCTAGAAGCAGTACAGAATTTTAATAAATAACCTGCCAGTTTAGTAATTTTCCCGAGTGAAAATGCTGCAGCAACATTTGGCTTAAATTTATTTCACTTCAGCTAAAAGGGCATATTTCAAGGGAGGAAATCAGCAAGGACATAATTTTTTTTTAAACAGTGAAAGCATGTCCCTATGACTGTGCCTATTATAGCTAATATTTCTCTGGTCAGGCTGCAAATGATTTTGAATTGCTTGAGGCAGGAACTCATGCAGATCCTGAACTGCGCATGTGAAATCATACATCTGGATAATAGCCAGAATGTGCTTTGCCATGTCTCCTATAAATTATGTATAAGGTTTGCAGTGAAGCAATGCCTAGAGTTTATTGTATTAAATTTCACTGCATACCTCTTAGACCATGTCTTTAAAAATCAATGAGCATCATTTCACTGTTCTATCCTGTTCTTAGTGTATAATAAATATAGTTTTTAGAAAATGAATCAGCCCTGCTAATAGTACTCAAAAATGTTGCTACAAATGAGACAGGCAGCAGAGGATTAAATTCCAAACTGCCTCATAGAAGCAACATTCTGTAATCAAATTATTAACTAAAGGCCACATGTGCAACCAACACACAAATGATTGGTTATATCATCATTCATTATCACAATATCATTAATAAAGACTAATCACACAGATGTTAAAATATGTCTTGCTGATAATTGCAATGAAGGCAAAGAAAAACTAATGATTTTCACCTTACTTTTTTATCTTTTAAATGAATCAAAGGAATCGAAATAGCTATTTGGATTCAGCTATCTATGCACAGGTCTTTTAGCCTGCAAAGTCTTGATTAAAATCCAGTATAGAAAAAAATGGATCTTAGTTATGAGATCTTGGGTGACAGCATTTCAGCGTTCTAACACAGCTGTCTTCTTTATTGCATCCCACAAAACTCATCTGGACAGCAGATTTTCAAATTAAAAGCAAGATCTTTTTTAAATGGCTCTAATAGAGTTGGGAACTAACTTAGTGTCTCACACAAATCATGCTAAATATAAACCTTAAGGAAAAATGTTAATAGGTTAACTGGTTGATTGCATTACTCTAACTTCAATACCCAGAAAGACAATGGAAAATATTATTGAACAATCAGTTTGTTCAAACCTGGAGGATAATAAGATAAGTAATAGCCAGCAAGGATTTGTCAAGAATAAATCATGCCAAACCAACCTACCGTAATTTCCCTCTTTGACAGAATAACTGGCCTAGTTGATGGTGGGAAGCAGTAGATATGAGTTATCTGGACTTTAGTAAAGCTTTTGACACTGTCCTGCATGACATTTCTTAAATAAACTAGGGAAATATGGTCTAGATGAAATTACTGTAAGGGGGGTGCACAACTGGTTGAAAAAACATACTAAGAATAATTATTAATGGTTCACTGTCAAACTGAGAGGTCATAGCAAGTGGGATCCCACAGGGGTTTGTCTTGGGTCTGGTACTATTCAAAATTTTAATTAACGACTTGGAGTGAAGAGTATGCTTATAAAATGTGAGGCTGTCACCAAGCTCGGAGCACTTGCTAGCACTTTGGAGGAGAGTATTAGAATTTAGAATGCTCTTGATAAATTGGAGAATTGGTCTGAAATCAACAAGATGAAATTCAATAAAGAGAAAGGCTGCACTTAGGAAGAAAAAAAATCAAATGCACAAATACAAAATAGGAAATAACTGGCTATGTAGCAGTACTGCAGAAAAGGATCTGGTGGTTATTATAGCGGACCACAAATTGAATATGAGTCAACAGTGTGATGCTGCAGTAAAAACAGCAAATGTCATCTATGATGTATTAACAGGAGTGTCGTATGTAAAATGTGGAGATAATTTTTCTACTTTAATCAGCACTGGTGAAGCCTCAGCTGAGTATTGTGTCCAGTTTTGTGCATCACACTTTAAGAAAGATATGAATAAATTGGAGAGATTCCAGGAGAGAACAACAGAAGTGATAAAAAGATTTAGAAAACATGACTTATGAGGAAAGATTGAAAGAATTGGGCATGGGGGGAGGGGGGAGCCTGAAAGCAATTTTTAAATATATAAAAGTGGAAGCTGATCAGTTGATTTCCATGTCCACTGAGTGTAGGAGAAGTAATCGACCTAGTTTGCAGCATAGAAGATTCAGGTTAGATATTAAGAAAAACTGTCTAACTACAGTATAAGGATAGTTAATCATTAGAACAGGTTATCTAAAGAGATTGTGGAATACCTGTTAATGGCGGTTTTTAAAAACAGGCTAAACAAATACCTGCCAAGTATGGTCTAGGTCTACTTAATCCTGCCTCAGCACAGGGGATGGACTAGATGACCTCTCAAGGTTCCTTTCAGCAGTACACTTCTATGATTCTGTGAATTTCAGGACATTTCCAGGATTCTCAGAAATGGGGAGCATTTTGATCAAAATGTTATGTACATTGTCTATAAAAGTGAATATATTTAATATATTAAAGAGAAGTGTAATGAAGTGCGTATCCTGTCTTCTTATAACAGAGACATAGGAGACTGGGTAATAGGACTGGTATTTCAACACAGGCTTTCACTTCTAGGTTACCAATTTAAGTGTGAACGAACAAGTGGTGACTGAATATGTGAAAATGTGAAGTTCAGTTCAGTACTTGTTTGGTATTGGAGAGATGACACCAGTAAACTGATATTAATTGTTAGTCTCAGTAGAGAGTCTAGGAATTGAGAGAACAACCTTGCTGCATCTAGGTGATCCATACAAAGCTGGTTTGAAGCATACTGTCAGGACAATATAAGTAGAGCCTTGGTTTGATAAATATTTGTATCTGCATCTGATCTGCAAACATGATCCACGGATATCTGCAGATTTGCTGGGTTCTAGATATAAAATTTGGAACCAGATCCATCCACAATCTACAAACATGGTCCGCCGATATCCGCATCCACGGGATACAAAGCAGATATCTGCAGATTTGCTGGGCTCTAAGTATAAGAAAGCTTGACCTGCTGCTTCCTTGGCTTCAGCTGTTCTGTGGATAATTAGAAGGCTTAATTTTCCAATACTATACTGATCCAGCATCTTTCACAAACATTACTTAAACTAAAAATTATTGCTGATATAATTTAATTCAGTTTCTTTTTTAAACAAATTTTCAGGAACAAAAATGCAAAAGTTTTAAATTTTAACACTGATCTCTTTTGGGGAATACAGACTACTTGAGTGACGTTTTAAGGTGATGCTTTCTAGAAACAATCACTGTTGCAATAGTCTAAAATGGTTTGTTACAAAAGGTTCTCTAGTCTGATTCTATAGTAACTTTAGCAGTGTATTTTCAGTATTATTTTAACAAGATGTCTTGTTTCTGTGTGATATTGTAGGTTTTATGGTTTAATTCCTATTCTTCTGAAGCATGGGATCCACCTACTCGGGATTAATTTAGGATATTGCCTGCATCACAAAAAGTTTTCTTGGTTTCGGCATTTCTTGAAGGTGGGCTGCCCAATGCCTTCTGGGGAATGCTCACTAGAGTTTACAAAATATGCTGTTAAAGCGCAAGAACAGTACAAAGAATGGCTACCATATCTATTGTTGGCTGGATTTAATCCACTGAATCTGTTGTGCAGACTGTGGTAAGAAAAATAATACTGACTTGTATTTTATATGTTGTGTACTAAATACTGATCTCCAAATTCATGACTAACCTAGTTTAACAAACGTTTTCACTGAGCAGCACATCATAACCAGTGCTTACAGTGAGCCAGGTGACAATGGCTTTCAGACCCAGGAAATAAAATTTCTAACCAGCAAGCCAGATTGCTGAAGGGTGGGTGGCACATTTTAGTACCTCTGGGGGAAAACACCTTCTGATTTGCTGCTTTGCCCACCTCCTGGGAAAGAGCAGCCAATCAGAGCTGCTGCAGGAAACAGGCCGAGCTCTCCCCCTTCTGTCATGAGCCCACATTGTTTTCATAGGACAGCAGGGAGCAGGAAGAGACCAGCTGCACAGAGCGACTCTGCCCTCCCTTCCCTCTTGCCCCTCTGAGCTATTGGACAGCTCCCCTGCTCCCTCCCCCTGCTTTCCCCGCTTCCTCCCAGCAACACCCAGCCTGGGAAGAGGGAGAGGTTCCCCTGCTGCACACCCGCCTCCCCGGTCTGGGGGAGGGGGATAGAGAACTCCAGGAGCTGCAGGAGGGGCAGAGATGAGACTGGAGGGGACAGGAGTGATGGAGACAGAACAGATGGGGGCACAATTGATATGGGGACTGGAGGAGGCTAGATTGAGGGGGCGGAATTGATTTGGGGCTTGTAGGGTAGAATTAATTCACCAGGGGCACAGGCAGATTAGAGGTGATGACAGACCCCTCCACATTTTTCAGATCACTTTAAGCACTGAATTCAGTTATCTAACTCAGGATCATGACTGATAGAGATTTCAAATGTCTTGAATGAAAAGTTCACACTGAAGGGCAGGGTTCAATGTTGTAAAACTTTTCCCCTTGTCTGGGAAGAGAGCCAAAGCAAGGCTTGGTCTTTTTTTACTCCATGGAATGGGGTGCTCTGCGTTTTTCACTAAACAGTCTTTCTTCCCTATCAGTTCCCTCCTCCTGTGAAAATGGTGTGCTACCCACCCCAAATCAAATGAAAGTATGTAAGTGCAATAAAACAACGGTATAAGAAAAATCTCGGATAATTCTGAGTCAAATGGGAATTTAAACAGTGTGGGAGGGGGAATTCCTCTAGCATTCAGTTCAGTGGCAGGGCGAGAAGGAAGTGGGTAAAATTACAGATTGTCATTGTCACTTGATTTTTTGCCTTAGTACCATAAATTTTATGTAGTTTTATACAAAGTGTTAATTAATTCATTTCCGATAAAAATAACTGGATTGACTGTTTTTACATTTAATTAGGCACTATAGAAATTATTCTAGTATTTAAAGGGGTCAATATATTTATATTCTGATTATTTTTTTCCTTTTTCCATGTTGTCATGCAGAGTGAAAGCTTTGACTCTGCTCTTCCATATGGATGACTTGTAACAAAATATTTTGAAACTATACAAACACATGAAATAGAAATAATGGATTAGACAGAGTCCGCGGATTTGGTATATTCGCAAAACTTTGCATATCCTGTTAGTAATTCCATTTACATGTCATCTTTAATTTGCATAGAAGGAGTTGAATTTTAATGTCCACTCAGTTTTAAACATTGATTTGTTTTAAATTTTGTGATGATATTATAGTTGAATTTGTCATACTGCTTACAATGTTAACTTCATCATTTGACTGATTTTCTTGATTTAGTGAAATTTTATATTCATTGATTTTCTACTCAGCATTTAAAGCAACATATTTTAAGCCTGACATGATAAATGGTATTTGTGATTACACTGTACTTACAAATAAAGAGCAGTGTAGGATTACAAGAGAAAACAATATAAAAGTCCTAATTTTTGTGACTCTTGTTGTCCATTTGTATTGTATGTAACATTTTTTTATATTGTCAGCTAAACTATAAGTGCTTTTATACATTTCTTGACTTAAATTGTTTAAAAACATTCTTGTTAAAATAACTGCCTGTTACAGTGTAATCTACAGATCTGATATATTTTTGCAACTTTAAATGCAATGCTAGGTTTTTTTCCTCCTGGAAAATAATGGCAGAATAATAGAAAGTAAATGCCATCTGTGCCTATGGTTTATTAACTGTCACTTGCTTATGGTTGTACAACTGTACAATATAATGGTAAGTGTACTACAGTAACAGTAAATTTTAGTGGGAGTATCAAAAGTGGTAAACAAACTCACCATTGCATTAAAGAAAGCAATGCAACCAGATTCATCACTCCTGTGCGTTGTTCAGATAAATGCATGAAAATGACTCTGTTGGTCACACATGAACTAAATTAATGCTGAAAAATGAAATAATAGAAAAAATAGAACAGGCAAGGAGTTTTTTTATTATTAATTTTAGTCACCAGTACATTTGTGTGTTTCACAGCATTTTATGTTTTATCTTATTGGTTGAGTCAGATGAAAATGGAAGAATACATATATAGCATAGACATTATGTGAAAGTGCAAGTATTGTATTTCAGTACATTTCAAATACCTTTTTTTAAAAATAACTCCTTTAGACTTCCTGTGTAACCCACTTATTCTGTGAAGGCTATTGTTTACCATTTTTTACACATTTTCTTGGAGAAATGAGAGATAAATCACCCTAAAATCAGTGTGTGCATAAAACTCAATTTTTTTTATTATTCATTAGGTTTTGGTTTGATTATTTTTTAAATTAAATAAGCCATTAAACATTTTTCCAGATGTCATGGAAAGACTAGGCAATAATGTGAGACACTCATTCACCCTGGTGTTGAGAGACCTTATAAAAACCTAGATAGAGATGGAATAAGCAATTCTTGCACAGAAAAATACTGCCTATTACTAAGGCAGATACATTTTAGAGTGTATACTTTCTCTTACAGTGTAGCTTAATTCTAAAAGTAATGGAGGAAGATATAATTGCTTTAGTAAAGTGTTATGCTGTCAAAGTTATTTTAGAATTCCCTTTGATGTTTTGTTATGCTTAGGATGTAGATTTCCAGGAACTTGTTATAAAAACATAAATCTTTCAATATGTTTCCTCCTCTCCCCCAAGATTATCTTTGTGGTAGTGTGTACAACAGTTGACAATGTTATGTGGTAATTTTTTATCGTGTAGGATTTATTCTGTGAATGATGACATCCTTAATTTCACTCTGGAGTTCACTAACTGGAAAAGGCTTCCTCCAGCTGTAGAACAAAATCTCTCTGACCACAAAGAAACCTCCACCTGGGTTCCACATAACCATTTTGGTAAGTAAAACAACCAATCAGCTGATTTCTGCACGTACCAATTTCCAGAATTTAAGAGGAAATAGCTTTTTGGAACAATATGTGAAGATTGCAGAACGTAAAATTAAATTGGATAGAAATTTTGTTTTCATACTTGGGGAAATCAGTAGTTGTCCTAAACTAAGATCATATTTGAATTAATAAAATAAACAGTATAGGAAGTAACAGAGGGTCCTGTGGCACCTTTAAGACTAACAGAAGTATTGGGAGCATAAGCTTTCGTGGGTAAGAACCTCAATTCTTCAGA